GCCTCCTCAGCTGGTAATGCCTTATGAAGTACACGCTTCCCTGTGTTTCACGCTGCTTGTGTTTCCAGTGACCGCCGGTGAGGGTACTGTGTAGTATCCCTAAGTGCATGAGCCTCCTCACCAACTCTTTAAGAGCTGGCACCACCAGCCTACTTCAGGTTAGGCACATGCAGATTCAGGTCTTAGCTCATTTGATCAGTTTCTCCTCAGCTGGTAATGCCTTATGAAGTACACGCTTCCCTGTGTTTCACGCTGCTTGTGTTTCCAGTGACCGCCGGTGAGGGTACTGTGTAGTATCCCTAAGTGCATGAGCCTCCTCACCAACTCTTTAAGAGCTGGCACCACCAGCCTACTTCAGGTTAGGCACATGCAGATTCAGGTCTTAGCTCATTTGATCAGTTTGCTGTGGATGTCCTTACCACACACTGTCAAGTGCCTCAGCCAGTCCCCCGTGCCAGAGCTTCCATCGCTTCCTAGAGCCAGTTCTATACTATTATAATCCCACTGTCGAGACTTTTTCCTTTGATGTTCTTAGATTTCCTCTCGCTCGTTCGATTTCACTGCTCCGTGCTGTACCCCCTTGTGCTGCTCTAAATTATTTCTGTCCCTGCTTGGTATTTTCTCTCCCTCCTGTATTTGCAGCCTGTTCTGTTCCCCGTTAGCCATCATTTAATTCCTCCAGTCCCCTGATATTGCAGGTTCTTTTCTCTGAACTCCCTTTCTGATACTGAGCTGCCTAGAGCTGAACAAGTAGTCCATGTGCAAACCCAAGGAAGATGTTAGTCTGCCTAATACATGCCACTATGCCAGTGCTCACCAACCAGTCGATCGGGATCTACCGGTAAATCTTCGCACCTCTGACAGGTGATCCTGACTGGTTTGGCCAGGAAGCTTTTAAGTGCTGGCACTTGTTACACCCCCCCACCCACTGTCATGCTGCCCCTGCCCTCTGCCTTGGAGCCCCCTACCCTCTCCAGGGAGCCTCCTGCTTGCTTTGAAGTATGTGGGAGAGGGAAGTGCTGATGTCAGGGTGTCCCTCCTCCCCCGACTTCTGTACCCAATCTCCACACAGAGAGAAGGGGATGGAGGGAGCTTGGCAGTGCAAATCTGTCAGTCTCTCAAACACACACTGTCCTTCGCTCTCATCTCCCGACCCAACACATACGGGAGTTGTTGTTATTTCTTTTACTGCTTTTAAAGTGGGTTAGCGTTTGTTTCTGACTGATCTGTGCATTTCATAATTTTCATTTCTCTCATATGCCTAAATTTAATTTTGAGGAGTGAGTTCTCAAATGCCGAACCTGTCGTGACTGGAGTCATTATCTCTGTGGTAATTGCTGCTCCTGGAAGTGGCTGGCATGTCGGGTTACCACATGCCGTCCTTGCCTGCAGACACCCTCCTGCAGCTCCCATTGATCAAAACTGGGAAACCGTGGCCAGTAGAAACTGTAGGTTCAATGCCTGTTGGTGAGGGGCAGCACATGGCATCTTGGAACCATTGCTGTCCATGCCAGCTGCTTTCAGGAGTGGTGCAGAGCCAGCGCAGGAATAAGCCTCCTTAACCCCACTGCTCCACCAGCCGGAAACTGTCTCAGTTAAACAGTGCCCAGCCAGAACCTGCTTCCTGAACCCCTGTCCCAGCCCTGAACCTCCTCCTGGCCCAGACGTGAGTCCCCCTGCACCCAAACTTCTTCCCAGAGCTTGCACCATGAAACCGCTCCTGGATCCCAGTCCCCCACCCTGGGCTAAGCCTGGAGCCCCTCCCACAGGCCAAACCCCTTGGCCCAAGACCAGAGTTTGCACCCGAACTCCCTACCCCAGCCTGTTGCAAGTGAGTGAGGAAGGGCGCTAGAGTGAGCAGGATGAAGCCTCAGAGAAGGGGTGGAGCAGGGGCAGGGCCTCAAAGAAGGGGCAGGAAGGAAGTGGGGCAAGGATATTTGGGTTTGAGGTAGATCTTACATTGCACTTCAGTTGAAAAAGTGACCTTGTGGTTAAAAGGGTGGAGACCCCTGCACTGTGCTTTCAGTCCAAAACTAAAGCTGGTCAGAACATTGCCAGTGAAGATTTAGTCTCAATCTCGCTCCTTCCAAAACCAAAAATCTTTTAGACAGAGACTGTGTCACATTGTAGTCTAATGGCTGGTACGCTGACATGGGATGAGGGAAACCCTGATTCGGAGCAGCGATTTTCATCCCAGAGCACTCGGAATCAGGAAGAGCTAGGACATGAACCTGCATATCCCACATCCACATCAGTGCCAACTGCCTGGCTACTGCACTGTTGCTCCCACTTGCACACTTTCCCCAGAGCATGAGAAGGGTTATAGTTTTGTTTCATCATGGAATAACAAGAGATTTCCAAGTTGCCACAAAACATCCTTGTCCTCCAGTCAGCTCTGCCCAAAACCACAGGTCATCTTGAGTCTAAATTGGACACCATATAGTCTCCATGTCCCAAGCAGTCTTTATCTTTGCTTGCCTCATGACACAGGAACTCTCCCAAACAGAGTGAGCTGTGCTCCTAACATGCCTGCCAGTAGTGTCCCTTTAAAAGCCCAATTTTCAGAAACCTTCGGAGGATCTGGCTAATGGAGCTTCATCCAACACCACTCCACTTTACATTATCCATTAGGCATCACTGAGCAGTGATTTCCAGCCGTGATTGATAATACACAATCACATGCCTCAAGCGGCATGGGGGCAGCATTCATGTGCTGTAGCTTCCTCTCCCTGCAATAGGTTTGCTCTCAATCTAGAAACCCCAGCCACTTCCAGGATACACTCTGCGACAGCTTCTAGACTCAGATGTAAACTGCATTTCCCAGGCGTGCCCGTCTTGGCTGATGAAAGGTGATACGGAAGTGCAAATGACCACAAGGGGGTCAGATAGCTTGTTTAGTAAAGGGGAAAAACTTCAACTCGGTTGTTAGCCACAAATTTTCAAATCCAGCCTCTACTTTTAACCCTTTTGGCCGTTGGGTTGGGATTTTCCCATGTTAGCCATTCATGTAAACTCCTAGTTTCACCTCCCCAGCAAGCCGTGCAGGGCTTCCT